TACAAAATAACAAGCAAACCTGCCAAAAAATTCTTCAAATAATTTACCAAAGAATGTCTTTTAAAAAATGTGTTATCTCCCTTTGTACAGAAATTAACATTAGATACTAAATCATCAGACCGGAACAAAATTTGAACTTGATCTATAACTTGTCAAGGCAAAACTATATACCACATATCAAATCAATATCTTCAAGAACAAAGAAAAAAAGTATGGAAAACTGATTTGCTGGACTGACGGATGGACAGACGGACGGACAGACAGACGGACAGAGTGCAAACCTAAAGTCCCCTTCGACTTCGTCGGTAGGGGACTAATAAGAAAATAAATGTGGAATGTGTCCATGAGACACAGGTGATGACCTTGCTTGCATATAACTTTATAACGGGACATAACTCAAGAACAGTAAAAGTGAAGCCAAATTCGTACTTGATCTGAGTTTTTGGTAATAAGCATTGTGTATAAGTTTCATAACATTTGGTTGAGACAAACTAAAGTTAGAGAACGGAAACCAATTTCGGGACGTACACACTGACGGACTATGGTAAAACTACAGCGGGGCATAACAAAAGATAGAAATTCTTTGAAAGTTGTTTGAATTGTCATAATTGTCACTCGATCATTGTAGGTTAAGGTGTTGATTTAAAACTATGATTACAAGCGTGGACAAATTTATAATTTCTTGTCAAGTTTTTATAAGGTATTCAAAGCCCTTTGATGTACAACTAATTGAAAGCTATATTCCCTAATCATGACATAATAAGTAGTCATTACAAAATGGTCAAAATTACCGGTAAGAAACACACTTATAATTTGTTTAGCATTTTGTTGGGTAAGTTTTATTTGGAAAAAATTTTGTTTTTGTCCAGAATAAATAAATACTTGCCTTAAAGACAATTTGTCGGAATATTGTTTGATATGCAGTTGGTGTCCTACATGTTCCCTTTTAAATATTATTACGAAAAATGCGCTCCGCATGGAGCAGCTGGATACGACCGCAGAGGTCGAACTCTGAACAGTTGGGGCAAGTATGGACACAGTATTCAAGCTTGATACAGCTCTGAATTTGGATAGTGATTAAATATTTGACACTTTATAGATTTCCGACACAGAATAAATGTGGTCAAATAACTTAATAAACTGCCTCGCCAAGCGCAGCTGTATATGACCGCAGAGGCCCAACCCTGAACAGTTGGTGCAAAAATGGACACAATATTCAAGCTTGATACAGGTCTGAATTTGGATTGTAATTAAATATTTGACACATTATAGGTTTCTGACACAGAATAAATGTAGTCAAAGAACTTAAAATTCGTTATATGATTTGAATTTATATTCAATTGAAGATTTCTTGCTTTTGTGCAAAACACTGCTGTTGCGCAATACTTAGTAAATCTGTTTTCAGACTATATACAAAGAATTAGCAATTGTGACCCCCAATTTTTCTTTGGAAAATTGACAATTTCTTAAATCTTGAGGATAAAAAATTGTCCTCCCCCCCTCCCCTCCCCCATTTTTCAAAAAAAAAAGACATCAATACACTTAAACACAAGTTAATGTCTGAAAACTAAAAAAATGCTTGTTTTAGACCCTTTTTGGCCCCTAATTCCTGAACGGTTTGGACAATTAGCCCCAAAATGAATCCCAACCTTCGACTTGTGGTATTGAACCTTGCGGTACAATTTCAGAGCAATCAATATACTTCTACACAAGTTATTGTCCTGAAACTAGAAAAATGCTTGTTTTAGACCCTTTTTGGCCCCTAATTCCTGAACGGTTTGGACAATTAGCCCCAAAATGAATCCCAACCTTCGACTTGTGGTATTGAACCTTGTGGTACAATTTCAGAGCAATCAATATACTTCTACACAAGTTATTGTCTTGAAACTAGAAAAATGCTTGTTTTGGGCCCTAATTTCTAAACAGTTGGGACCATCACCCCTAAAAACAATCCCAACCTTTCTTTAGTGGTATTGAACCTTTTGGTAAAATTTCATAGAGATCCATACACTTAAACTTAAGTTATTGTCTGGAAACCAAATGTCTTCAGACCTCGATGACGACAACGACGACTTGATAGCAATATAAGACCCCAAAATTTTTTTGCGGTCATATAAAAATTTGAAATGGGACATTTAATCTACTTAATGGTCCAGTATCCAAAATCTAATTCCATGGCTAGATTCAGCATATAAAACAAGCATTCTGAGAGTATTGCATGGCAACACAAAGTCCCCTACCGTTTAAAAATTAATTGTACTGGAACAATATGCTAACTTGATCTATAACTTGTCATGATGTAAACTATATAACAAATATCAAGTCAATATCTTCAAGCATGATGACAAAAAGTGTGGAAAACTGATTAATTAAGTGAATTTACTAAGTCCAAGGACCATAACGCTGCACAAAATTATCAGACCAGAACAAAATTTGGTCTGTAACGTGTCATGATAAAACTATATACCAATCATCAAATTAATATCTTCAAGTATGATGAAAATAAACAGCTGCGCCATAAGCGCATGATACACCCGTCGCTTTTTTAAAGAATAAAGTTCAATAACTTCTCAATGTCATTTCAGAAATTTATGAAAAACTAAAGGGAGGTTAGCTTAATAGATATAAACCAGTCAACAAAGTTTCATGAAAACTGCTCAAAGCACTTTAAAGATATTGTCCGAAAACTGGAAAATCACCCCCTTTTTATGAATAAAATCCCATAACTTGGAAACATTAAATCTAATATTTATAAAAATCGAAAGGGAGCTTATGTCAATCGATATAAACAATTCACCAAACTTTCATGAAAACTGCTGAAAGCATTTTTGAATTGTTGTCCGAAAACTGGAAAATCCCCCTTTTTTTAAAGAATAAAACCCCATAACTCGGAAACATAAAATCTAAAATTAGTAAAAATCGAAAGGGAGCTCATGTCAATAGATATAAACAATTCACCTAAGTTTCATGCAGATTGGTTAAAGCGTTTTTGAGTTATTGTCTGACATGTTGACGACAGACGGACGGACGGACAACGGTATACCATAATACGTCCCGTAAACAGGCGTAAAAATTGTGCAAATCTGATTATTTGAGTGAATTTTCTAAGTCCAAGGACCATAACTCTGCAAAAATCATCAGACCTGAACAAAATTCGAACTTGATCTGTAACTTGTCATGATAAAACAATGTACCAATTATTAAATCAATATCTTCAAGCATGACGAAAAAAAGTGCGGAAAACTGAATATTTGAGTGAATTTTCTAAGTCCAAGGACCATAACTCTGCACAAAATTATCAGACCAGAACAAAATTCGAACTTGATCTGTAACTTGTCATGATAAAACATTGTACCAAATATCAAATCAATATCTTCAAGCATGAAGAAAAAAAGTGTGGAAAACTTATTTGCCAGACTGACGGATGGACAGACAGACAGACAGAGAGACAGACAGAGTGCAAACCTAAAGTCCCCTTCGACTTCGTCTGAATGCACAGTTAGATTCAGCATATCATAGAACCACAAGAATTCAGTTTTTGATTAAATCAAACAATGTCTAGTTTTGGACCCTTTGGACCTGAATGTAGCCTATTTAAAAATGTCCAAATATCCAATATAGTAATACATGGTAAAAACCTCAAACAATTCAAGACTTTAAATCAATCCTCAATGAAATTGGTTAAAAGATTTGTGTATTTATTTTCAATTGAAGATTTCTTGCTGTTGTGCAATGCTTTGCTGTTGCGCAATACTTAGTAAATCTGTTTACAAACTAAATATAATAATTTACACACCCTGTTTGGTGTGTGTCTCCTGCCATATCAGTATTTGTTGTTTCTTATATAGATCATAAATAATTTATGTTAGAACCAGCTTAGCCAGTATTAGATAAGTCTTGTTTTTGGCCTCTAGTTTCTTAACGATTAAAGCCACACCCCACAAAATCGACCCCAATCTTCTGTGTGTGGTATGGAACCTTGTGGTACAATTACATAGAGATCCATTGACTAATACTGAAGTATTTGTCTAGAAACCAGAAAAACCTTGTTCCCCCCCTAATTCCTAAACAGATCGGGCCATAACCCCCAAAGTCAATCCCAACCTTCCCTTTGTGGTATGGAACCTTGTGGTATAATTTCACAGAGATCTATACACTTATACACAAGTTATTGTCCGGAAACAAGAAAAATGCCTTTTTGGCCCCTTTTTCCCAAACAATTGGGACCATAACCCCCAAAACCAATCCCAACCTTCCTTTTGTGCTATTGAACTATGTGGTTAAATTTCATAGAGATCCATACACTTATACTAAAGTTATTGTCAGGAAACCAAATGTCTTCGGACGACGACGACATGATAGCAATATACGAACACAAATTTTTGCAGTTGTATAAAAATTGTCGTTTTGTCCAGAATTAAGTAAACAAAAATGCTTAAACGGCAGTTTACCGACATCTTGTTTGAAAAAGCTTAATCTATCTTATTGAAATCTTGTCAATAATTTTTGGTTAAGTCAAAAGGTGTGAAATTTAATGTTCCTGTCATAAACATTATTACCTACGGTAATGTCCCCTACTTAATCCTATTGATTTTTAATAACCAATCAACCAAATTATGACACGGTAATTAGGTAATTAACAACGTGCAGTTATTTCCATGAACAATTTTAATCCATTTAAACAATCAAATTCTCACTGATATTCTAAGGATTTTATTATTTATTTTAATCAAATTACTTTTTTTATTCTATTTCAAAAACACGTTTTATGTTACCAAGTTTATCGCAAGTCATCACTATACTAGAATTGCACAACATAACCAGAAAAAAACATCCCACTCGATACACAATACTCGGGATTATTCTTCGTTGAATTTTTAAATTCGTGGTTTGCTGGGACCCACAAAACCCACAAAAATTGGTATATCATGAATAAAAATGAATCCACAGTAATTAAATACATTCAATGGAAGATAGGTGCGTTTTTGTGTGATACTTACGTGTATATTCTGTTATAACTGTGACTACTTGACATGGTGCTGTGGCCATTCTCTGATACACTTAAACTTTTGTCCTTCAAAAATCTCTCAAAGTATTGGTAGTGCTTACTGGGAATAAAGGGACATAACTCTAAAAATAAAATTTAATGAACTGATTAATCTTTGTAAAAAAAGAAACATGCCTGCAGTACCCTTCCTGAACATTTACATATTATTTGGTTATCAAAATATGTGTTGTTTGTACAATTAATAGTTATTTTGAAGATCTAGTTTTGTTTAAATTCACCATCAAATGTTCTGTAGTTTTTTCCCTGTCTATTCTTGTGCACTAAATAATTATCTTGCTGAAGGACTAATATTCTTGGTCATTACAGCCTTCATATGAGATCAACATTAAAAGCTCTATAAACTCTTATTATTTGCATAGGTGCACATTTATATTGGTCGATTCAAGGGAATAGCAAAGTTTGCTCAAAAGAAAAGTCAAATTAACTGAAAACATAGCACAAACATTACAACGTATGAAAACCATTACACAATAATTCAATAAACTGTTAACACAGAGATATGTCTCGCCTTTTTATAATTTTGATAATGCAAATGTTGAAATTAAAATAGCAATACTTTAACATGTAAGTTATGCAAATATTCAAAGTCAATGAACCATGACTGAAGGTACATGGCTAAACAATCTCCATGGAATGAGATGTGCCAATGCTAATACAACTGCATACCAAATACCATTGACTTATCATAAGTCGTTCCCTTTAAACATACCCAAACACAAACATTAACTTGTAAATTATGTAAAAGTTTCAAAGTCAATGAACCATGATGAGGGGGTGGGGGTATATAATCTCCATGCTAAGAAGACTTGCAAATGCCGATAAATTTGCATACGAAATATCACTGACTTAACACTAGCTTTTCATCTTAAACTGATCTAATCACAAACTAATACATATAAACTAAGCAAAAGTTTCAAAGTCAATAGACCATGACTGAGGGGGCGGGGCCAAATATTCTCCATGGAAATGAGACGTGCTAATGCTTATATAACTGCATACCAATTAACATTGGCCTACCATTAATGGTTCCCCTTGAACTGACCTAATCACAAACTAATACATGTAAACTCAGCAAAATATTTAAAAGCAATAGACCATGACTGAGAGGGACTAGGGGGGGGGGGGGGGGGGAGCAAAATAATCTCCATGGAAATGAGATATGCCAATACTTATACAACTGCATACCAAATATCATTGACCTACCACTAGTGATTCCCCATAAACTGACCTAATCACAAACTAATACATGTAAACTAAGCAAAAGTTTTAAAGTCAACAGACCATGACTGAGGGGGCAGGGCCAAATAATCTCCATGGAAATGAGATGTGATAATGCTTATACAACTGCATACCAAATATCATTGACCTACCACTAGTGGTTCACCATAAACTAGACCTAATCACAAACCAGGGTTCACCACAGAATGAAAATCAAGGGTGGGGGAAAAAAAGTTCATCAAATCAGAGATTTTGTGTTGCGTTGTCGAATCGATTCCTTGTGTATTAATTATTAATTATACAGTATGCCTTACATGTATTTGTCAAATATATAGCTAATTTGGAAAGGGGGTCTCACACAGATTTTGTAGTTGGTCCTATTAGTGGTCACCACACTTGTAGGAACATATTAAACAGGGAGAGTAAACACCTGATGTGGCTTCCCAGATTGCAGGAATATTCTGACAAATTTTATCTAAATTGTCTTATGGAAAACCACATGGTAAAAAGGTCTAAAAAGATAAAGAAATTAATAATAAAAAAAAAATATTCAGTCACAGAATTTCAGTCATAGCCTATCTAGCAGTTTATAAAATCATATGTGTTATGTAGAATTTTATTAAATTAACTACCCTCTTTTCCAATACAATTATGTAAAGGAATTATATATCCAGTTTTACTCTTTTCTTACTTTAAATGAGTTTTAAGGTAAGGAAACTCCTATCCCAGATCTAACTGTCTAAAAATAACCAGACAATGTTTGTCTGTTATTTAGGTATTCCCCAGTAATTTCTCGCCAAAAGAGATCATGTGACATTGTTGTCAACAAAAAGACCATGTGGTCAGGGAATCCATTTGTTTTCTGGATTACTGCTTTAATTAATCTAGTTAGGATATAAACATTCCATTTAAGGTATAGTCAAACATATGCATAATATAAAATAACTGTAGTTTGCAAACAAGTTTTACTTTTCAATTAAATTGAAAAAACTGGGTCATGATCGTTCATTGGTTGTTACCTTGTTCAACCACGCGAGACCATGTAAATAATATAATCAGCTGTCAGTGTACATCCCTTGAGACAGTAAACAATAATTCGACTTCTTAATTGCCACTGACATGATAATTGGATTAGGGATATCTGAAATTTAACTTCAATCTAATGAAATTTTAAAGTGTGGCGGACAATAAAATAAGCGTGGCGCTGGGAATTTTAATGTGGTGCTAGAAATTTTAGTGTGACGCACCGCCATCCTTAAATGGGTTGTGGTGATCCCTGACAAACTAATACATTGTTGATGCCTCCGCAGACGACGACGCCAGAAACAGCATACCTATGTCTCACTTTTTGACTCCGTCAAGGCGAGACAAAAACTATGTAGAAACTTCTCACACTTACGATGATTAAGGCAAAGCATGGTTGAATTAAAATTTGGTTTCAGAGAAGATGCATAATTTCTAAGTGCTTACCTAAACATTGTAAATGTTTTTTTTCTAGTTGACTAAAATAATTCTAATCAAAGTTGTTGGGAATAAATTTTGTAAGAACAGATTAGTGTTCAGCTTGGATGGGTTAAATTACAGAAAAATTTTCAAAGTTGGTTCAGAGATAGAATATTAGATTACTCAAAATCAAGGTTTCTCTAAAGATTATATTTCACAAGTATGTTAGTATACAAATAATTTTATGTTTTCTATCAGGTCCATATAGTTCAGAAATTTATTTGAATAGGATAATATCAGGTCCAAAGAGGTTATAGATTTAAAGGATATTTTATATTGTGTCTGTATGGTTTATAAAACTACTTATGAATCTTATGGTCAGTACACTTAATAGATTTACTTGCAATACAATGTTATCATAGTTTTCTGGTCACTATAGTTTACATATTTACATTTGATGTATTTTTCCTGGTCACTTAAGATAACAGATAAATCTGTGAATTTTTTTTTTTTTATTTGTAGTATATTACAAAATATGCACATTGCACAAAAAAAAAAGACTCACAAAGCTTTTCTCCTGTTTCATAGTGAGAACAAAAAACAATTTATTTTCCGACATTGTAAATAAATTGTTTTTATTCTGCAATTTTACCTTGACATTTTACGTTTTTTTTTAAATTTTCAGTTGGCTTTTTTACAGAAGACTACAAAATGTACAACTACAAATCATTTATTTGTACAACAGTCGGCCAATTGCAGGATAAATAAATTGATTTGTGACAAGATTATGTTTCTGATCCATACAGTCAATGAATTTACCTGTCATAAGATGTTCTCTCTTTGTCCTTACAGTTAATGAATTTACCTGTCATAAGATGTTCTCTTTTTGTTCCAAACGGTCAATAGATTTACCTGTCATAATGTGTTCTCCCTTTGATCCATACAGTCACTGAATTTACCTGTCATAAGATATTTCTATAAGCCTTACAGTTAAGGAATTTACCTATCATAAGATGTTCTCTTTTTGTTCCAAACAGTCAATAGATTTACCTGTCATAAGATGTTTTCCCTTTGATCCATACAGTCAATGAATTTACCTGTCATAAGATGTTTTCTCTAAGCCTTACAGTTAAGGAATTTACCTGTCATAAGATTTTCTCTCTTTGTTCCAAACAGTCAATGAATTTACCTGTCATAAGATGTTTTCTCTAAACCTTACAGTTAATGAATTTACCTATCATAAGATGTTCTCTTTTTGTTCCAAACAGTCAATAGATTAACCTGTCATAAGATGTTCTCCCTTTGACACATACAGTCAATAGATTTACCTGTCATAAGATGTTCTCCCTTTGATCCATACAGTCAATGAATTTACCTGTCATAAGATGTTTTCTCTAAGCCTTACAGTTAAGGAATTTACCTGTTATAAGATGTTTTCTCTAAGCCTTACAGTTAAGGAATTTACATGTCATAAGATTTTCTCTCTTTGGTTCATACAGTTAAGGAATTTACCTGTCATAAGATGTTTTCTCTCTTTGGTCCATACAGTTAATGAATTTATATATCATAAGGTTTTCTCTCTTTGGTCCATGCAGTTAAGGAATTTACATGTCATAAGATGTTCTCTCTTTGGTCCATACTGTTAATAAATTTACCTGTCATAAGATGTTCTCTCTTTGGTCCATACAGTTTAAACATTTTATCACATATATCTGAGATGTCTGTATTCAAAGGATCATTCAAGGCTTGAAACAAAGTACCAAACTGCTTCAACTCATCATAATTTGTAAAAATATTTGGAAGCTGTAATAAATATTCTATGCAAATTAAAGTCACAAATACAATACAGTATATCAAATATTAGATTGTATATAATTTGATTGAAACTGGTGCCATTTATGCTGCATACAACTGAGGACATTGATTTTGTTAGTTGGTCAAGGCACCTGACAGTCTCTATAATGTTGTCTGAATACAGAAATATTTTCATTGTCAATCTCATATTTAAGGTGAATCTATTTACTATTACTATTCAACAATCTTTTATTGACTACATCTTTTTTTAAACCATGCAAACAATTACTAATTTTGTTTATCTTGTCTGTTGATGTCTCACTTAAGTTTGTCTTTTTAATATTTTATAATATCTATGATAAAGTCACCTTGTTCATATATTCCTTAACCAGTAATGCATGATGACCAATACTACTTGTCTCACTTTTTTCTCCAACACTGCGAGTCCTGTGTTTTCTTGGTTTAGTTTCTTCTTGATCTGATGTGGATAAACTAAATAAGAAGGATTATTTTGTCAGTTTAACTACTTTTTAAATTGGAAAATTTGGAAAAATGACAGACAATTACACTTAAGGTTGGTCATGGAAAAGATCAGGTAAGCATAAACACATGTATTTTAGACCTTAGATCTAAAACATTCAAAAGCCAGGTATTTGCACATACAAATAATATTCAAGTGAAATTTTCAATCTTTAAAGGTCTGTTGTTTCTAATTTTTAAGCTTACTTGATTGGCAGAATTGAACCAAGAGCTGTGGCTACCTTACCTTACTGTCTATATAAGTAAGCAAAGAAGTAGGTTTACAAAGGGTCAAAATTGGTCCTATAATTCTGTGAAATTTTAATTAAGTACTTAGAGTTAGCATCTTATGACAAAATGTGTCAAAATATCTGACAAATACAAAATCAACAAGTTTTGACACATCAGAACACTTATGAAGTCATTATGATGTTATAAATGTGCACTCTTATGACGAAAATCGTAATTTTCACTAACTTTTTGGTTAAATTTAAAAGTATTTGCTTGAAACAACATTGGCCACATGCAAGGACCACTATGAATTTTTATTAGGATGCGTATCTGATCGGTATAAATCTTTGTATAACAATTTTATGTTGGTCAAACGGTATGGCCAATGTTTTTCAGAATGAAATAGACTGTACAAATGCATAAAAACAGGCAATCTGGCTAAAACCCTGTAAAATATCAAACTTTTGAAGCTGTTTAAATGAACAGCAGACAGAAAAAGGGTCTATCTAAATCTGATTATTAAATAGATTTTTGCATATGATATAACAAAGTTCAATATTTAGGGCCAAATTAAGGCCTTCCTGGCTCTACTCCTTGACCGTTTTAAAAAATATGTGACATCTTTCATTTCTTTGTTCTAGTTGGTGGACATCCTGTTGGTAGCTGCACTCTGTGTGCAGGGGTTTTATTGTATATCTTTACATACTCTGGTTTAGAAAAGCAAATGGGAGAGGTTTGATATGTATGTAAATCTGCCTGTATCAAGTCAGACTAGCTGTACCATTTGTTGTTCCTTGTTGACTTTGTATGTCTTCTATATTGGATGAGGCAGATTTTTGTGGACTCTGTTGTACTGTCCAATACACGTATTTTAAGAAATGCCTGATTTCCTTTTGATGTATTATATTATGTTTTGTAACCGATGTGACAGGTTTAATTTTCAGGGATTGGTACAATATATATATATACAAGTATACTCACAATGAATGCTGATTAAGATCATTAATAGTAGTACTAGAACCTAGAATAAAAAAAAACAATAACAAACTAGAATGCACACATAATTTGAAGTGCTAAGCATATCCCCCCTCCCAATTCTTAGTAGATTTTCTACTTTCATTTTTTTTTAGTTTCTTTAACTTGATGTGTCTGATACCAGTCTCCCTGAACTGCAAAATGTTACAGAAAACTTTAAAAGAAAACTTCTTTCTTTCAGAAATACTTCTCTCTTTTTTTATCAGGTTTAAACTTTTAAATATTTTGATATCCCATGGCCAGTCTCTCTTACCCGACAATTAATACTACAGACATGCAAGTTTCAATTTTAATTATTCTCTACCTGACTTGCCTGATGATAAAAGGCAAGTCTGACATTTCTAGAAACTCAAAAAGTTACCAATATGTTTGTACGTCATACCTTCTGAAGATGCTATAGAAGATCTGTCTTTTTCAGCTTGCCTGATGGTTTCCTGTAGTAATTCAATAGTGGCCTCCTGGTAAGCCCGCTGGAAACACTGGCCTACAGCAGCGCAAATAGTGTCTGCCTGAGCCTGTAAATAAATGTATGTTAAATCTGTTATTTTTAAGTTGTGCCTGTTCAAGGATTCTGGATATCTTATTGCTGTTTTAATTTTCAAGGTCTCCATAGCTTAACACATGAAAAGATGTACAACAAACATGTATAATATCAGTGAGTATAGGTCAAAATAAAAATATCAAGTTTCACTACATCGGAGCACTATATATTTTTTTTATGAATTTTGGCAGACATTTAAAAAATTGTGACTGACAGATAATTTCTGACACAGGAAATCAATTTGGAGTAGCAATTTCTACCTAATTATCAATTTTCAATGAAATCCTAGCACAAAAAAGATGTCTCTAAAAATTTGTGATTTTTTTTAACATAATGCCTCGTTCACACGTACATTTAATTCGAATTGAATTCGAATCAAATGCGAATCGAATTCGCTAAGCGCGTTCACACACTCATCTTTTTTCAATTCGAATTGAATTAGAAATGCGTTTTCGTTAATGCGAATTAGTTAATTCGCTTCAATTCGAAATTAAACTGTGGTGTGGACACTTTCTAAATTGTAATTCGAATTACCCGAACAAGTGCTTGGACAGAAAAATTAAAAGAATATTATCATTATTTCGTGATTCTTTAAAATTAAAGACGTAACACTAATAATTGGTGTTAGCGAAAATATCATAGGCGAAAACCATAATGACGTCATTGTGGTCATGACGTCATAATGACGTCATTGTGGTCATGACGTCATATGCGTATATATGCTGACAAGTCTGACATGTCCGACAATAATTTATAAATGGGTAACACTTGGTCGTTAATGGAGACATTCTGTCATATAGGGTGTTGGGAGGATGATGCTATTTAGGTCTAGTGATCTGAGACTCACAAAAAAGAAAAACCAACATGTTTACGAAAAACTTTTTTTTTTCTCGTTTAACAATCATTATGCTTTGTGCAAAATAGCAGGAAAAAATGTACTTGTTGGAAAAATAGGAAAACCCTTGCCCTGTTATTGAAATGAGAAGGAAAAATGATTCCGATAAACGTCATATCAGATCAAGAGAGCAAGTTTGGAGATGTTATTGGCTCTAAAATGGTTGTTTTGTTTAAATTATGATAATGCTAATTAAAAGTTAACATTGTTTGGACAGTAAAGCGAATTTGACGCGCATTGTAATTCGTATTAAAATTTACGTTCAGACGTAAAACATTTCGAATGCGAATTAAACTAATTCGAATTAGTTAATGCGAATCAAATTCGAATTATGTGTGAACGCAGCATTAGTTTGACACCAGTTATCAATTTGGAATAGCATAATATACCTACATATCAATTTTTGTAGAAATTTTATATCAGATCTTTCTCAAAATTTGTGATTTTGATTTGCCAATTTTCACATAAAAATAAAATGTACATCTACATTTTTATGCACGACAACTGCGCAAAATTTCATCAATGATCTACCCATACTTTTGGTTTTTTTTATGTACGAAAAAAAATTGTGACAGACTGAAGGATAAAGTGAAAACTAGAGGGCACCAACATGAATAATGCAGGACCCAAATAATGAGTTCTCCTCCAGGTAAGTATATCCTAGTATGCAAATCTCTATACAATCTACACAGTCAAAATATAGACAAAATAATGACACTAACCTGATTTTTACAGTACAGTACTGCCAAATCACATTTGTCAGGAATTCCTGTAAAAAATAATCTTAAGTAAACTTTTAGTGTCAAGTATTTTTATTACTTCAGATTTATGTTTTCTTTTGTTTTCATTTTTCAGTATATCCTTTTCTAAACAAATAGAAAACTGGAATACAAGTATAAAGGTACTTTTAAAAATATGTATTTATCAGTTTTAAGCAATAACAAAGTTTTCCCATTGCATGTACAACATACTTCTTATTCCAGAAAATCACTGAATGTCAGGACTGATGCAAAGCTGATGATGAAAGTCTATGCTGTCCCGTGCCTGATATCATTGTTGTTTGATTTATGAAGTAACAGCCATGTTAAAAAGGCATTTCTGTGATGGCTGTGGCCTATTATCTTTTTCCAGTTTGAAGAGATATTTCTCGTATCACAGACTCACTGAACAGATTGTGATATGAATAAGTTATACAAAATATGTGTATTTTTTTGGTTAGCCTATCATGTCATTGATGACTTTCAATTGTCACAACAGACTACTTTTCCCCTGTGGTAACTTAGATTTTTGATTTCTTCAATAATATACAAAACACTCACATGTTTCACCTGAAAATAATCTTTTTGTCATATTTGGTTTCATTCTGAAGCATACAAAAAGCTTGAAGATGACATACTGTTTAGGTTCAACAGAGAAGAATATTGTTCTTGGAATTTTCTTGTTTTACAAAAAGATAATGTTTACCAAAAGAGAAATTTGTTTCACATCTCGTGAGAATTTAATATCCCTTGATATCAACTCTCTTTATATTTAATTTTCTTTATATTTAGAAAAAAGGGTCTTTTATTACTTGAATATTGAAATTAAGTAACTCTAGTCTAGTTGATATTGAACAGATATATCATGTTAAGGATGGGTATTTGCGAAAAATACCAGTCGAGAGAATGTTAAATTTCGCGAGCACTAAGGCGAGGGAAATTCATTCTCAAGACTGGTATTTTTCGCAAATACCCCTCAAGAACATGCTATATCTGTTTAATTACACCGAATGTTAACGTACAAAACGCATTGATGATCGTGACATAAAACGCATTGATGATCGTGACATTACAAGCGTCCAGTCGGATAGAGTATTTTTTGGCAAATGCCATGGCAGAGAGGGTAAAAAAGGCATATCCTTTTTGCATATACCCCGGCGCTGTTTAAAAATGAACGATATTCATTTGATAAAAGTAAATTGGTGAAAAATACACTGGCTATCAACCAATCAAAACCCAGGATTCTTACATAAGGTGTAATTATAAGAGATATCCCATTCTGACTCCTCATGACCCTTCAAGTATTAATACAAAATATGTGATACTAAATTTGTATTTTCATTGGTTTAGCATAACAATATTTCCTAAGGAACCACTAGTTTACATACCATATTTAATAGCTAGAGTGTGAAGACCATCATCTTTAATATAACATACAGCTGCTATAACATGGATAGGAATATCAAGGGTCTACAAAGAATTATAATCACAGTTAAATGGACTGATATCATTCCTTCATTTTCTAACTGAAATGTTCTTGGTAAAGCTTCAATAAATATTTCCACATACTGTAAAGAAACAGTTTCATTAAGTTCAGTGGGTTTTCAAATTGTTACTTATGGATACTTCATTATTCAGATTTGATTGTATAGAATTCAAGAAATTTAAATATGATTACTGATACACAATACAAAGGCAGAGTTTTCATTAAGAACTGGTCAAAGAATTTTTTGCAACAACACTTTTCATTGGTTGATTAATCAATTACATCATCTGATTCCTTGTTATGATCTGAATGATAACCTGGCGATGGAGAGAGCTAAACTATCAGAGGTTTTTTTTTATAGCAAAACCACAAGTCAAACACATGATGTAGCTTATTGAAAAGAAAATTGCATGTGACTTTTTTTACTGTTTATTTGACAATGTCCTTAAACTGTGGGAGACACTAATTCTTTTAACACATGGAATAAATGTTTTATTCAGAATCTTTAAATCAGCTTAGATTTCTTATACATAAAGGAAACCTTTCTGTTGGGGCTGAGTGGGTCAAGAAAAATCTTTGAACCCCTCCCAAAACGTCTTCCTCAATTCCTTTCAAATCTGGCCTATTCAAAATAATTTCAAAGGGGGATTATACATAAATACAGTAACCCGTATATAACTCTAGATCTATGTAAGGTGTTTAGTTTGTGCTTTTCAGGTTACCGGTATACAAAGCAGATCAAACTACTCTAATTATATTTTATATTTTCACTTTTCATACCTCATAATCTTGTTTGTGGATCCTAATATTGCTTTTACTGAGACTGAAAACAGCATCAGGATCTTGCGAAAGCTGCAGGGGAACTAACTCTTCTTTCTGTAATAAAGACATAAATTATCAGCGTACAAATGATGTTTTATACATTTTGCTTTTTTATATTAAAATTTAATAGAAAAATAAACACCATTAGGCTATCCTATACTTCATACAAAATTCACAGATATTCACTAGCAATAATTTAAAACATATCTTACCTCCCTTAAAACTTTGGGAAGTAAATAAATTATACTGTGCATGTAATGTTAACATTAGAGGCCATGTCTAATAATTAGTTACTGAACAAAGACTTCAAATATTTGTTACAGGGGCTAAAAACGCAATGTGTCAAAATTGAATATTCAGTATTTTTTAACATAACAAATAGGAAAATATCTACTTGCTGTAACATTTTATGAACCAGTAATCAGGGATGTAGTATTTTACATAATCTAACCCTTTAAAACTCAGAGCAAAACCTTATTTATATCTTACTTTCTAAAATAAGTGAACAATTATACCAGATATCATCAATTGACTCCAAGCAGTACAAAAAAAACAAGCATTCTGTGAGTATTGCATGGCAATACATAGTCCCCTACCGGTTACAAAGTCATTGTAATGGAACAAAATTTTAACTTGATCTATAACTTGTCATGGTGTAAACTACATAAAAATATCAAGTCAAAATCTTCAAGCATGACGAAAAAAAAACTGTTGAAAACTGATTATTTAAGTGAATTTTCTATGTCCAAAGACCATAACTGCACAAAATTATCAGACTGGAACAAAATTCCAACTTGATCTGTAAATTGTCATGATAAAACTATATACTAATTATCAAATCAATATCTTCTAGAATGACAAACAAACCTACCACAAAATTCTTCAAACAATTTACCAAAGAAAAGGAAAAAAATCCAAAATGTCATTTTGTCTTTTAAAATCTTTTAAAAAATGAGTTATTTCCTTTTGAACAGAAATCTACTAATTAATAAGTATTTCATCAAAAATTTAATTCTAGGGAAAGGGCTTTAACTGAACAAAGAGAAAAGCTATAATCAATATCTTCAAGCACGAAGAAAAAAAGTCTGGAAAACTGATTTGCCGTACTGACAGATGGACAGACAGACAGACAGACAGACAGACAGACAGACAGACAGACAGACAGACAGACAGACAGACAGACAGACTGACGGAGTGCAAACCTAAAGTCCCCTTCGACTTCGTCAGTAGGGGACTAATAAGCAGACAAGATCTGCCAAAGACAATTTGCCCATTTTGTAAAAATTAACACAGGGTCTACCACATGAATTTAGTTTGTGACCTTAACCTTCAAGTTATAATGACTCCACATCATGAAAAGTAGCTGAATTTACAGCAAGGCTACACAACCTAACTTGTAACAAATTATCAATATAACACAAAAATAATTTAATTGAAAGTATCATTTAAAATATATTTGAGGTAAACCAAAGATAATGGTATTTATATATTTTGTTTTAGGGATATGTAAATTTGAACTGTTTTTTACCTTGACATTCCAACTTAACTAGTGACTTTCCTCTGATGGTAGAATACAAATAATATCAAGTATCATTTTCATCCCTTAAGACACTCAAATTTTTTGTACACAATTTGCATGAATGGACGAAATGTTTCCTATATACCTCCCTGAAAATTTTCCACAGAAGGTATCAAAATATATCTTGCTGGGGTACATTGATTGTTTATACCTTGCCACGATCGATGATTCGTAATACATCAGTTCTGTTAGTCACATCTACTTCTACAGGAACACCCGGTATAAGGCCAGCATACTGAAATTATATTATTCTGTCACTGGTTATATCCTATTGCATTTTGTAAAATGTAGATATTGACAAAAAAAAACAACATGCATTTAAAAATGAAATTTGAAGGAATACCGATTTTTCTAATTCATATATCATCTACTTCATGCCAAAAACAACACAATTTACAGCAAAAAAGTTTCCTCTGAATAGTTTTATGTTTTCGCTGTTGCAGTATCAAAGGAGTAACAATACATACACATTGCCTCTGATATAATCTTAATGAAACAGTATAGACTATTGGTGAGCTGTCTTTGTGCATCATACAAATATATATCATAATCAAGGAAATGTATGACTATTCCATATATATTTTATATTGCTAATTGATACAGGTTTTTTGGATGAATGAAACTATTTCATGGGATCACTATGCAAATTAAGATCTGTGGTTTAAGGCTGGAGTGATCTACATAGGAAGAAACTCCAAGATCATTCCTTTGATGATATATCTGGTAGACATTATAAACAATGTAATCTACAGTAAAAGGTACAGATGAATTCTATAGCATCCTTTTGTATGTGGTTAACTGTATCTGTTCTTTAGATATGGAAATAAGCTGAAAATTGGTTATAAAAAAAATAAAGTAAATAAATTTCAGAATGAGTCAATAAGCAGAATAAAAAATAAGTCATCAATTTACTGACCCACACATCACTTTCTATATAATCTTTCTTCATCAATAGATCACCCATCAGATAATCAGGTGATGGGTCAGACACTTTTTGTTGTTTGGTTTCTCTTGATAGTGACATCAACTAAAATTTTAAAAAAACTTTGTTTTAGGCACAGTATGAAATGTATTGAAATGAAGTTTGACATCATAATTTTCAGTTGCAAAAGTACAAATAAAAACGTTTTTTTCTCTTTTTGTCTTTTTTTTTGTTTTAAGGTTGCTGTTGCATGTACATTATGACACTCTGCCCTGAGATAACTTTGACCGACTAAAGGTCAACTCAGACCATCTGTAATGACAACTCAGACAAAGTTTTAAAGAGGGTTTAGACTATCTAAATGATTAGTAAAGATACTTACAATGCAGGGCCGTAATATTACAGCCTCTATCCAAAATACCGTTTTTTGGCTCTAATGGCACTCCATACTTTCAGAGGTCAAATATATGGTATGTATTTCGAAGTTTATGCATGTTCCCTCAACCTCAGGCTACTTATTGTCATGTTTCTCAGGTTTATGCTGCAGTTTGAGCCCAACTAAGAAACTTGTAAATTGAAATCAGATAAAAAACTGTTTTTTTCTGGAGGAGTCACCCCGGGTGGGCTTCTCTTTGGTGTCTGGGACACACAGTTCAGAGGCCTAAAATTTCCAAAAATAGTATTAACCTGTAGGCATATTACTACTGTCAATGCTCATTATTGAAATACGCTTAGGGAATGACTACTGCCTGTTGCAGGTCCAGGTGAAGCCAGAAATCAGGAAAAAACGACAAATTCCTGATTTTTGGTGGAAATGACCTTCTTTACACTATCATACTTAGATCAGGTTCACTCCAAACTCAGCACTTTTGGGGTCAATGTATTCAATGGGGTTCACTCTACATGCAGACTACAGTGAGACACATCTATCATCATCCATTGGTCTTCCAGGTCAAGAAATAGGACGAAAAATCATCAAAATTAACGCTTTTAGCACATGATGACCAACTTTGGAGCATGTTAAGAGTTTATGATTAAATGTATATTATATATTTATCAAAATAATTTGTTTTAATGTGAATCCAAATTTCTACTTATCTTTATTAATTCATTATAACACTTAAAACTAGGATTTGTATCGTAAGCTTACTATACAAATCCTTGCTTAAAATAAGCAAAACAAAGTTGAAGTTGAATTTGTTTTTTTTTTTTATTTGTTGAACAACTGTTGAAGGTTATTAATTATATTTTTTAACCTAAATGTCAATAAGTCAACTTAGACTGTCTATTTCAACTCAACTCAGAGAATCTATTTCAACACAACTTGGAACGTCTAAAGTGCTAACTCTGACAAAGTATAAACACAGTTTGGAGAATATATTAATGCTAAAATGTTATATTTCACATCAGTTTCATTTTATACCTTGCTGCATTTGCAAATGACAATGAATGAAGTGCTGTGCCAAAAATAATTAATCTAAAGTAAATTAAATTGATTCTAGTTTCTACTTCATCATGGGCATGGGGTGATTCTACATCTTAAATTATTTTTTTATTAATTCATTAAACATGTAAAACAAACTAAATTTATCTGATAATTGAATACCTTGTTTATTATAAACGTTTTGCATTTTACCAAAAGTTATAATTAAATTAACTTAATTAGAAATTATTTATCTAATGTACTAAAGATATGTACAATGTATGTACATGTATATAACTATAAATCATAGTGATTATTTCATTTTGAAATTGGAATATGTTTGGACTTATAAGTTCTTTAAAATATTTGAGGAAATAATATATACCAAGCTAAAAGAAATCTATCAAAAATATAACAAACATACTCATATAAGCTTTCAAGCAGCAGAAATAAAAATAAATATAGGAAGCATCCTAAACAATCTTCAACAATCATTGACAATAGACAGATGCATGTCTACACAAAATGTCAAGCTCTAAATTGTCCCGAGTCTTAAAAGTTGTGATCTTGAATTGTCTCTATCGACGGTCTGACTTCTTTTCATAGAAGACATACAGGTAGATAGTTTAAGTTGTCTCTTTCGTGGTAGACACTCATCTTATCATTTATATGGTCAAAATAGGCGTAAAACTCTCCCTTTATACTTTGTCTGAGTTTGCTTGTAGACAGTCCAAGTACACTTATTGATGGTCCTAGTTGTTTATTTTGTAGATGGTCAGAGTTGTCTTCGGGCCAAGTTGTCTTGCACCCCATTTACATTTAAGGTTCATGTGGACCCTTTGGCTAAAATGGCTGCGTTTTCACCTCAAAAGTTACTCTGAGTACAGACAAACCTGTGCATCTGGAAAAGTTTTAAGCCATAGTATGTCCTAGATAAATAAAATTCAAATGCATTGTATGTTTTGGAAATTTAAAACTTAACAGGATTTTGCAGTGCACTTTTTTTCGTCCCTGCAGAAGATGATAAAATTAACAGCAGTTGAGTTTCACTTGATATGGTCCACTCAGGTATACAGTTTAAATCACCAATTATTGTTAGGTATCTATTGTCAATCTATTGTCCATGTCAATTAATACAGTTCACTTCAATTATTACCTGTGGCACGGGTGTCATTCGTTATATAGAGAAAAATGATCGTGAAAGAATAACTAACAGTGGTCAAGCATTGTGATCGGATTGTGAAAGATCTGGTATCTCATGGTGAATGCAATTAAGTTCTACTTCAAAACTTGTGAAAAATCTGATGTATTTTCAAAAGGTGGAACAAATCAGAAAAAAAATTACGACTGTCAAAATGATTCAACTTCCTTATTAATACTGTGCACTAAGTTAAAGAAAAAATGCAGTACTTTTTAAGAAAACACGAAAGGCGACACACAATCCTATGAAAATCATTAAGAAATAAATGTGGATAGTGTCCACATGTGGACACAGATGATGCCCCTGCTTGTATCATATAGCTATAAAGGGACATAACTGAAGAACGGTAAAAGTGATGCTACCCAAATTTGAACTTGATCTGAGTTTTGTGGTAATAAGCATTGTGTGTAAGTCTCATAACATTTGGTTGAGGCTAACTTAAGTAGAGAACAGAAACTAAAAATTTAGCAATTTTTCTATTTGTAAACACGCATAACTCTAGAACGGTTGTGTATAAGTTTTATAACATTTGGTTGAGACAAACTAAAGTTAGAGAACGGAAACGAAAAATTCAGCAATTTTTATGTTTATATAGGGACATAACTCAAAAATGGTAAAAGTGTCGCCACCAAATTTCATAATTAATCTGTATTATGTAGTTATAAGCATTGTGTATAAGTTTCATAACATTTGGTTGAGGCAAACTAAAGTTAGAAAACGGAAACAAAAAATTTGTACTTGATCTATCTTAGTTTTGTGGTAATGAATATTGTGTATAGGTTTCATAATGTTTGGTAGGGGCAAACTTAAGAAACAGAATGGAAACTAAAAATTTTGCAATCTTTCAATTTATAAAGGGGCATAACTCAATAATTGTTAAAGTGACACTACCCAAATTCAATTTGATCTGTGTTTTATCAATCGAAGTCAAAATTAAACATTACATTGTATAAAGCATTGATTGTAGTTGATTCAACTATAATCATGGACAAAGGAAGATAACTCCAATTTTAAAAATTACTTGATATTTTGAAGAAAATAAAAATTTTGCAATTTTTCCATTTATAAAGGGGCATAACTCTAGAACAGTTAAAGTGACACCACCAAAATTCAATCTTGATCTGTTTTTTGTGGTAATAAACATTGTGTATAAGTTTCATAACTTTTGGTTGAGGCAAACTTAAGTTAGAGAAAGGAAACTAAAAATTTTGCAATTTTTTCCATTTATAAAGGGCATAACTCTAGAACAGTTAAGGTGACGCCACCAAAATTCTAACTTGATCTGTGTTTTGTGGTAATAAGCATTGTGTATAAGTTTCATAACATTTGGTTGAGGCAAACTTAAGTTAGAGAACGGAAACTAAATTTTTGCAATTTTTCCATTTATAAAGGGACATAACTCAAGAATGATTAAAGTGAAGCCACCAAAATTCAAACTTGATCTGTGTTTTGTGGTTATAAGCATTGTGTATAAGTTTCATAACATTTTTGATTGAGACAAACTTTAGTAAGAGAACAGAAACTGAAAATTTTGCAATTTTTCCATTTATAAAGGGGCATAACTCTAGAACGGTTAAAGTGACGCCACCAAAATTCAAACTTGATCTGTGTTTTGTTGTAATAAGCATTGTGTATAAGTTTCATAACATTTGGTTGAGGCAAACTCAAGTTAGAGAACGGAAACCAATTTTGGGACGTACGTACGTACTGACGGACAAGGGTAAAACTTAATGCTGCCTCCGCTACGACGGGGGCATAAAAATCAAGTTTTGTATCTATAATGGTCACATTCCAATATATCATGATATATTTGAAACTTTATCTTTGTTGTGTCAGGAAGTCCAGTAAAATAAAAGTATGTAATTACTTGAAAAAGTTCAAATTATTTTTGAAAAAGTATAATTTTGTTGATTTTTAATCAAAATTGATTGTGAAAGATCATCCAACGCATTATTTTGATTGTGAAAGACAATGCGTGACTTAATGATCAGAAAACAACCTTTCTTTTACTAATTGATATACTTGTAATTGGTTGAAGTGTGTAATTACTTACTAAGAACTTAAATTAATGTTGTCATTTTTTTGGTGATATATATATGTACCCATATTTAGACCTGTTATCATTTAAAAGGCAATACTAAGTTTAACAATAGACATCCAAGATTATAAGACTTCCAGGAGCACAAATTGTCGAAAAGTAAATATCTTTGTATATATAATGCTAAATGCATCCACGAATGATTGAAGCGAGAGGTGGTCTGGTGGCTTCCCCTGGAAATATCTTAATGTGTACGTTTTTGTTTCCGTAAGGGCTAAATCAAAGAAGCTATATCATTTAATTTTACATACAGGTGTATAGAAGATGTTCTTTTCATTAACAATACAAAATTTTCTGATAAGGTCCCATTAATAGTCATGAACTAGAGATTACAGACACCACATATACAGCTTCCTTAGCCTCATTTTTAGACATATACCCCGAATTTGACTACAGCGGTTATCTCAATACCAGAGTATCTAGTGTGCACCCGTTTGAAAAATCGTGCACACGACTTTGAAACATGTGCGCACGACTTTTAATCTCGTGCGTACAACATTTAAAAAATGTTGTGCACAACCTACAAAACTAGTGCGCAGGACTTTCAAACTGGTGCTCACGACTTTCAAACTGGTGTGCACGAGTTTCAAAGTCGTGCGCATAATATCTAGAAAGTCATGCGCACTATTTTGAAAGTCGTGCGCACCATTTAGAAAGTCGGGCACGCCAGTATGAAAGTTGTGCACATCAGTTTGGAAGTCATGCATACAAGTTTGAAAGTCCTTTGCACAACTTTGAAAGTCGTGTGCAAGATTATTCAAACTAGTACTAGTGCGCACCATATTATTTTCCGGCAAACGAAAAAAAAAAAATATTTACTTGACACTTAAGGGGCTCTGTAATTATGCTTTACTATACTGACTGTATTATCAAATACAAAAACTTTTTTGTTGGCGTCTTTGTTTGATTTAACTGTAAGTGTGTTTGAATGTTAAATATAGTTGTGTTGTATATCTGGGATGTATGTTTACACAATTTTGGCTTCTGGATCCCAGATATGGCCACGTTAACCAATTATGCCTGTTTGGGTTGCCAATATTATCCAATTTGGCAATATTGTGGAACATTAAACAACTGTCAAACAAGGGGGCATATTAGTTAGCTAGAAACCAGACTTAACCCACCATTTTCTTAGGAAAATGCCTGCGTCGAGTCATGGATATGGCAGTTGTTTTCCTACGTTTTTTTTTAAACAATGTTTTTTTCCAATTCTTACAAAAATCACAAAGGATCTTTGTTTTATAGATATGACTGTGCATAAAAAATAATGGAAATCAGATGAGAGAATCTTAACTTTTCAAACGACATAAAACTTATGCAGGACTGACAGCATGGACAGACGGACTTTGAATGTTAAAAGAAACTAGTCCGTGTGGTATTATCAAATAATCAGATCAAATGGCATTGAAACATCATAGCCCTATTCACAAACCAATTACAAATATAAATTATCATTTGTTTAAACAAAGATTTGTTCGTTTTCATGAATTTTTGCAATAACGAATACTAAGTAAGTGGCAACAGATCTTTCACAATCGTTTTCACGATCATCAAAATGCAGTCCCCGATCTCTCACGATCCATAATATCAAATTTTTACAAATATTACCATTTTTGCAAAGTTTCTGATTAAACTGAATCAAAATAACTATTTTAAACAGTAAATTTGAACGATATATTTAAGAGAAAGGTAGTTTATGCATTCGAAATTTGAAAAAAATCATGTTTGTTTACATTTTCATTACTCTGAAATTTCGATGAGTAATCTGCCTTTTGTAGTTTTGTAAAAACGGTGTACTTTTAAGCCTTTGTTTTTCTCGGATACTGATCATAATGTTGAACCATTTTGACAGTTTTATTTTTCCAATATTTGTCATTATAATTGATTAAATTAGATTATTTACTAACATTGCATGTGTCTTTTCGATAAGATTTCATTTTTGATATTTGAATTTTATTTATCTAGGGCATGCTTTGCCTTAAAACTTTTGCAGGTACACAGGTTTGCCTGTACTCGAGTTAATTTTGGTATCGGGTCCGTTCGCTCCAAATACACATTCGCACCCAGCAAGTTTGCCCCCTGGGTCAGTTCGCACACTTTTTTTTATTCAAATACCGGTTAAATTATCAGATGTTTTTTTTAGATGTATATATATGAAAAATATTTTATATTTTCATGTATAATATTCAGGAATTTTTAAATGATATATTTTTTTTAAATGATTTGATGAATAAATATTAATTGTTTTGAATAATTGTTGGAATGTATGATATCATAATGAATAAAAATAAATTATAAAATTATAACTTAAGTTCTTCTTTACCCTCAAGTTTCTTTTCATATGGAAATAGATGCTCTATATCGTAAATGAGAGCTGTAATACAACACCAAATAAGCATATATCTATAAGTACATATATATATTGGTAACTTCAATCTTCTGTACACATGGAAATAAAAGCTCTGTAGATAGTTATAGCTGATATACATGATATACAACACCATGAAACCTAAAAAACATGTGATTTGTGGCCCGGTTTTTGTGTTCTTCATTGTTGTTTATAGAGTGGCACTTTATTTTGAAACAATAAAAAAAACATATTTATAGCAAAACACTAACTAAAACTTGATTAATCAACACAAATCCAATCAAAAGGTTGCCAACATAAAAGGGGGCGAACGTTAATGGGAGCGAATGTGATTTTGGGTGAACAGACCTGTATTTGTCAATTTTGAGGTGAAAATGGTCCACATGAACCTTAACCACACTATTCCTATCAAACATTTATTTATCTTGTTTCTGTTTTTAAATGATCATCTGCCTGCTTCTTGGTATACTGCAAACTTAAATAATAATAAGAAGAGATGTTGTAAAACAAACTTAACCGTAGACAATAATAATTTGTTAGCCTTCTAGGTAATAGACTGGTTAATTTCTATAAAGAGACATAATTTGACACTACTGTCACTAGTCAGTCAGCTGATCAGCATAATTTTACCATTTTCAAACTACACGTCATCAAAATACAGTGTTTAATAATAATATAAAGTAAGACTGTACCTTTCTTTCTTTAAACTCCAACCTATCCATTGCTCTGACTGTTGCATCTTGATCCTGATCTAGTAAAACCAGAGTTCAGTTTTTTTCTACTTTTTTTTTTGTTGACTTCCAAAGACAACTTCCGGTTGATGATTCACCTGAAAACCAAAATAATAGGTCAAATAAAGGTATGGTAAGTTACTTTATTTGCTTTAAAAATCAACATGTCTTTGACAATATATTGTCCTTACGTTCAAACATCAATATAAATAGTTTTTACTTCGAATAAAATCATACAAGATGGATATAAAAGAAGTTATCGAGAAAAATAAATTCAGATAAATCCGTCACCGAGAAATTCTTTAGAATCTCCAAGGAAAAATTATTCAGAAAAATTGGTAATGATAATTCAAATGTTATCTCTATATGCTCTATTGTAGGCACATGTTGAATATGTTATACAGTATTTAGTGTTGTAAACTCAATATTCATCTTCCACACGAAAACTTGCAATAGTAATGTGTCTTAGTCTTAGTGCCTAATTATGTGAAAAACACTTACAGGTCTGTAAACATGAAAGCATTGGCTGATTTTACCCCATTTTACTCTATAAATAACGCTATATAGAAAACGGGACGGACAAGAGTGAAGCTTTCAACAAGAGACACTGAATGATCAGAGTAAGGTGGGCCTAAATTTAAGGTTCATCATAACAAATGGATAAAAATGGCTGTATTTACAACTAAAAAACTACTCTGAGTACAGACTAACCTGTCCAGTCGGAAAAGTTTTAAGGCCTGGCATCCACTAGATATATAAAAGTTTAATGCATTTTGTGTTTCAGAAAGATAAAATCTTTTTTGGATTTTGATGGGCATTTTTTTTTCGTTCCTGCAGAAGGTGTAAAAATAAACTAAGTTGGGATACAACTTTGAGATGCTCCCTCTCAGGTAACAACTTATTGTATTGTATTGATTGTCCTTGATTGGCATGGACAATAGACAGACAATAGATATTTACACAACAGTAGTGAGTTAAAGGGTCAAATTGAGTGGACAGTATCAAATGAAATTCAGGTGTTTGCTTATTTTTACACTTTCTGCAGGAACGAAAAAAAAATGCCCATGAAAATCCAAAAAAGATTTTATCTTTCTGAAACACAAAATGCATTGAACTTTTATATATCTAGTGGATGCCAGGCCATAAAACTTTTCCAACTGTACAGGTTAGTCTGTACTCAGAGTAGTTTTTGCGATGTAAATACAGCCATTTTCGTCTGTTTGTTATGATGATCCTTAAAGGACTCCCGGGGCTGCCTACCAAAAATAGATGATCATGAATAAATATATGATTTTCACCCCATTCCTGTTCGCATTCAAAGTCACTTCGCCTGTTTACCCTGATTTTAAAAATCAACATTGTTGGGCAAGAATAGGCATTGTTTATTTTTCTTATGGTATTTAGACAGGAAATGTTAAAAATTGAGTGTCATTATGATGACCATCTGGTAAATATGTTAACGTTGTATTTTACTGGTTCCACAATGTACATGATGTATGTATTATATGATAATTTCTTATTTTGACATTAGATCAATCACATACAATTACACATGTAGTCTTTCTGCAAGATACACAAATTTCTACATACCATTGTTTAAACAAAATTTATTCATTTTTATACGACCTCAAATTATTTTCGCCGTCGTATATATTGGTACATGTATGACGTTGGCGTCGTCGTCCGAAGACACATTGGTTTTCGCACAATAACTTTAGTTAAAGTGAATGGATCTCTATGAAATTTTACCATATGGTTCAATACCACAAAAGGAAGGTTGGGATTGATTTTGTGGGTTATGGTACCAACAGTTAAGGAATTAGGGGCCAAAAATAAGCATTTTTGTAACTTCCAGACAATAACTTGTGTGTTAGTGTATGGATCTCTCTGACATTGTACCACAAGGTTCCATATCACAAAGGGAATGCTGGGATTGATTTTGGGGGTAATTGCCTCAAAATTTTAGGAATTAGGGGCCAAAAAGGGGCAAAAAACAAGAATTTTACTAGTTTCAGGACAATAACTTGTGTGTTAGTGTATGTATCTTTATGAAATTGTACTGCAAGGTTCCATATCACAAAGGGAAAGCTGGGTTTGAGTTTGGGGGTAATTGCCCTAAATGTTTAGGAATTTGGGGCCAAAAAGGGGCCAAAAAACAAGCATTTTTACAGTTTCCAGACAATAACTTGTGTTCAAGTGTATGGATTTCTCTGAAATTGTTCTGCAAGGTACCATACCACAAAAGGAAGGCTGGGATTGAGTTTGGGGGGTGATGAATCTTAAGGGGGTTCAAAAATTGGGGGGGATTTTTTTTTGCTTCCCCCCCCCCCTTTTTTTCCTTTTTTTTTTCTTTAAAATTTTCCATTTTAAGTTGGTTATTTTTGATTTATATATAAAAGCAAATAATAGTGATATGGTTTGATTTCATCAAAAATTGAAATAATGGGGTTCTTTGATATGCTGAATCTAACCATGTATTTAGATTCTTAAGTTTTTGTCCCGTTTTCAAATTGGTTTACATTAAGGTCCAAAGGGTCCAAAATTAAACTTAGTTTGATTTTAACAAAAATTGAATTCTTGGGGTTCTTTGATATGCTGAATCTAACCGTGTATGTATTTAGATTTTGGATATTGGACCATAATAGGTAAATTAAAAATTTTTAAGTTCTTAGACCACATTCATTCTGTGTCAGAAACCTATGCTGTGTCAAATATTTAATCACAATCCAAATTCAGAGCTGTATCAAGCTTGAATGTTGTGTCCATACTTGCCCCAACTGTTCAGGGTTCGACCTCTGCAGTCGTATCAAGCTGCGCCCAGCGGAGCATTTTATTCATTCTCATCTAAAAGTTGAAATCCTGAACGTTTGATATCTCCCTTTTTAGCTCACTTGGACGCATGAATTTTTGTCTTGATGAAATATTTCATGAACATGTCTATCCCCAGGACATGCAGGAGGTGACTTTATTACAGTAGTGTCCTATCATCATTAGAATTATCATTCAGCTGTCTAAAATTATCTAAAAATATACTTTAACTGGAAATTTACTTCCTTTTTCATTCATTGCTTTATGTAATGGTAAATCAAGAAAGCAGAAAAATGAGTTATGCAATCATGATCATGTGATTGTAACACTTACACTAAACATTTGTAGGGTACTTGGATGGTTTAGACATGAAAATACTATAGTAGCCTCAGTGTTGACAGAAAACAGAGTGACACTTAAGAAAAATGAAATTATATTATGGTGAACCAACACCTGAAGTAGTGATTGTGTGGTAGGGTTAATAGAGGGTGGATACCGAAAGGTATTCACAGTTGTCTTTCACCAAGGTAATAGATAAAACACCATTAAGACAACAACACCCTTAAATTCTGAAATTATTACTTTACTGTATTTTATGGGTGTTCTTGTCTTCAAAGTCGTTTAACTAAAGGAAAATATAAAGTTAAAAAATAAATTGCAATGTATTTATTTTATACATTAAACAGAATTTGTACATCTCATTGGTTTGCATTCTGAGTATTTTTCATTTTGATAAAACTACAGAATTTGATAAAATGTATAAGTACTTTTCAAAAAATTATCATTCTATATTGAGAAAGCTCAATTAGCCGAAAAGGACAGTTCAGATCAGAACTGTGTGAGTGACTTATAATGTACAGATAAAAAGTGATAATTGCCAGGCCATTTTTCGGTCTGTCTGTCAGTCTATCTGTCCTTCTGTCCAATTGTTCTTATACCTCCACACTAGGAGTGTGTTCTGTGGGGACTATATTGCATCACCTTGTCTATCCTCCATCCCTTTGTTCAACAAATATTTCTATCACACTTTGCTCAGCTGCTACTGACTGGACAGATTGACTTCAGATTTAATCAGCAGCTTGACAATGATGAGTTATAAAGCTTGCACACATTTTGTTCTGTCAAGCATCTATTTCCTGTTAGCAGATAATTTGAAGTTTTCAATGTGTTTGAAGAAAAATATTTTAGTCACACTGTTCTCCAGTACTATAGAACAAAACAGCAGGAATTCATATTTAGTCAGTAGCTTGATATTTATGAGTTTTAATTTGTAAGTTCTTTTAGGAACTTTTAGACACCTGCTTCCTGTTTTTAGATACCTGTTACCATGAATAAGAGTTGGGATATACTTATCACCATTGTGTGCATTCTTGTTTCATATTGTCCTTGACCTCAGGTTTAAATTTTACAAGAGTTATCATTTTATTGTAACCTTATTTATTTTTTATATATATACATGAATTAACTTTTATCTCTGTTTCAGATGTGTAGATTATAAAGAAATAAAGGTAAGAATGATTGCAATATAATGCAGAAATATTTGATGATCTAGCATACCAAATTTATATTACTGCCCAGGTCATTGAGAATTAACTTAAAGAATCCTCAAAAAAAAAAGATTTCAGTCATTCAGTTGACTTTTGATATATAATGGTATTTATTGCAATCTTTCAAATGCAAACTCAAATTATGATCTTGCACCAAATGTAATGCCAATGGTGATTTTAGGGTCCTATTCAAACTTTCTTTAAAAAAAACTTAAGGAAAAAGTCGACGAATGCCCTCATTTGGTTTTGATGACACTATATCATGATATATATTTTATACCTTTGGTTATGATACCAATGCAAACAATCTAGAAGCATAGGTACTTTGGGCAAGAACACCTATTTTATTTTAGGTTAGCTGACCTAAAGAGCCCGTGTGAGCTATTTTTATCACTTGGTCTCTACCATATGTTGCTGTCTGTCTCTAAAATAAAAAAATAATTACACCTGAAACCACTAGGCTAATCAAAACCAATCTTGGTAACAATCATCTTAAGGGTGTATAGTTGCAGATTTTTTCCTTGTGTTAATGCTAATCAACCAACATGGTTACCCTTACTTAAAATTTGAATGTTAATATAAAATGCAATAAATCATTTCTTGAAAATCTTTACAAATGGAGAGAATCTGACAAGGTTAGAATGTTCAAAATAACAATCTATGTACCAGTGTACTCCATTTATACCCAAATTATCTGACATCTCCTTATAGCTATATGATGTAGA